CCCCCCCCCCCCCACTTATCGATCTTTTGACGCCCATGATCAAAAGGCATTCCTCCAAGTACGCATTAAGGCTGCTGAACGTGACGCTCTAAGATTTCATTGGAAACATCCTGGGGACAATCAAATACATATCTACAGGTTCACTCGTGCCCCCTTTGGATTGACATGCTCACCTTTTCTCCTCGGAGGAGCTATTTATCAGCATCTATAACTTTGGCGTGACAGGAAGCCTGCGATAGTGGAGGAGCTAAGGAACAATTTGTATGTTGATGATCTATTATCTGGCGGAAACACTGTTGCAGAAGCTGGTGTTAAGAAGTTAGCAATGACCGAAGTACGGGCTGATGGTGCTTTCAAGTTACATAAATGGAATTCCAATGAAAGGGGATTAGAGGACGGTGAAAAAACTAGCAGTGAGGGTGAACAAACATTCGCAAGAACACAGTTAGGTGTGGATCCGAATGAATCCAAATTACTCGGTCTTAAATGGGAAAAGGATGAAGATACCTTGAGTGTTGTGTTCCCAAGTGATCCACCAGCGACTACTAAGCGTGGAATGTTGTGTAAATTAGCAGGAGTTTATGATCCTCTCGGATTAGCTTCGCCAATCACCGTAAGCGGGAAGATGGTATACAGAGACGTATGCGATTCGAAGGCCTCGTGGGATGCAGAACTCAGCGGTCAAAGTGCTCAGGAGTGGAGTATATGGGAGAAGGGAATACCCGAGTTAGTAACTGTACCACGGTCACTTGCAAAATTCCAAGACGATATTCATTCAGTGACTCTCCATGCCTTTGGAGATGCTAGCATCAAGGGCGTAAGTGCAGCCGTGTATTCAGTAGTGAACCAACCATCAGGGACAACTCAAACCTTGGTGGCTGCGAAGTCTCGGTTAGCGAAACGCAATCTCAATACCCGATCTTTCTACCAGACACAGCATCTTACATGAAAGCATTAGTATTCCAAGCCCATTTGGATACTCTTCATGGGGGAGTAACCCTTACCATGGCTAAATGACGAGAGCAGTATTGAATTCCGAGGTTAAGGCGATTGGTAAAGCTAGTTAGGAGTTCTTGTTATGGGTGTGTACGGTTTCGAGGTACATCGTATTCTTCGCCACCCCCGGACAGCTACCAACCAGTCGTACGCAAGGCGAAACTCCGTATGCAGTGTCGGTATTGACTTTGCGGGACCGATAAAGTACAGAATCAAAGCGAAAACTGATGGGAAGGCATATCTGATCCTTTATGCTTGTAGTCTGACGCGAGGAGTCTATTTGGAACTGTTATATTCCTTGGAAACGGACGAATTTGTGAGATCATTAATAAGATTCGTAGCAAGACGAGGAAGACCAAGAATTATTTACTCTGACAATGGTAGAGACTTGTGGGAGTTTTCAAATTGGAATTTCACAAGACAGTTGTAAACGGTACCTTGAATTTTGATGAGTTGTCTGCGATCGTATTGGATGTTGAGACGTCTATCAACGGTCGTCCGTTAGATTATGTGGAAGATGATAGTCAACTCCCTCTACTCACACGCAATTCCTTTATGTTCCTTCAACCTACTCAGCCGTTAGAATTGGAGCCACGTCACCTTCAGGAAACTACGTTACGAAAGCGAGCTAGATATCTGTCTGAAGTGAAGGATGCGTTATGGGCAAGATGGAGTAAAGAGTACGTACGAAGTCTGCGCGAGAAACATCGATTACTACAGCAAGATAAGAAGACCGAATCACCAGAGGTTGGCGATATTGTCATAATTAGAGGTGATGAAAAGAATCGGAATCTATGGAAACTCGGGAAAGTAGTTCGTCTTATACTCGGTCGTGATGGAGAAATTCGCGGCGTTAATTTAAGGTTCCAACGGGAAATGGAATTTTGGAGAGAACCCCTCAGCACCTCTACCCTTTAGAGTTGAAATGTGACTTCATTGACTCGAAGCAACCGTTGAATCCTGATGTTGAAGAGTTTCGTCCACGACGGGGAGCGGCAATAGCAGCTGAAAAACAAATAAGAGCTATAAACATGTACAATGACGATTAGTTACTAGCAATACCTCAGTCTCCTTTAGGGCATCTAGCAGTTATTACAGCTATATGGGGGGAGGGTGTCGGAGACTGGAAACGAACAGTGTTAAATTTTTGTTGAGTTAAGCACATTTTGTGACACTTGTGAGAGCGAAGTGAGATTTTATAGCGAGTCGATTTCTATTATTAAATATAACTTTTAACCTTTAATTTGTGAGTGATTTTAAGTGAAGTGACATATTATTTGTTGGGAATCAGTTTTGGAGGCAAACTTTCCTAACAGAGGGTCTGATGCGATCTTTGCCACAATCCGCATTACTTAACTTGTTATGTATTGTGTTTGTGTCTGTGTGCTAAAGTGTGAAAAGTGTGTGTATGTTACTGTATTTCACGCAATTCAGCCTTTATATAGGCTGCTATGTAAAATTTTATTAAACCGTCTATTATTATTATTATTATTTCTATTTAACTTACGTATTTTGAGTTACATGGAAGCATTATCAATCTCATGTGTGCCATGGACCACCATAATGTGTATACTGTTGCAGTATAAATGCGAAACCATGGACAAATGTAGCCTACCGTTATACCTCCAACCTTCAAAATATTGCATTGTGGGCAAGGACGTCAATATCGATATATGTTTAAGAAACAGAAAACAAGTCGCATGCGTTATGGCCAGTGATAATGCACGAGGGGAATGTTAGGAGAATACGAGAGAAGCGTAGAAAACACGAGGCGTTTTTGTTAAGTAGTTATTCTGTTTTGATTTGCTAAATTTATATCATCGTATTATTTGTGTTTCGCTCGAGCTGTTTTTATAACTAAAGAAGCATTCGAGGCGGAACTTTCCGAATGAAACCTGGTTAGTTTTTGTAGTTTTTTGCTAGGTATTGTCTATTCTTGAAGGTTTTTAAAAAAATTTTCGCTCGTTTATTCTCGTTTATAGCTAGACTCAAAAACTGTAGCGAAAACGTATTTCCACGGTTTCATTTTTGTCTTGTTGTTTATCGTTGTTTTATTTTCGTTTCCTGTCTATTGTCATTTGATTTCTAGACATTTTATAATTTTGTTCACATTGTTTTGCTAAGAAACTGCAGACCAAGTAAGAAAAACTAAATTTGAACATATATGAACAAATGTCAAACGGTAAAAATACTAAATAGACCTGAAAAGTAAACACTGCAGTTACTAGCTTCCTGAAGCGAACTCCATGCTTTCTTTTGATTGGACGAGCTTTAGTTTTATTAGATTTCTATTTTTGTTCTGCAATGTGATTGGTTAATGTTCTAGAAGTGGCATTAGTGGCCCCACTTACTGTAGACGCACACTGAAGATATATTTTTCAGGATAAGGAGTCTAGTTATCATGAGTTGTTATCTCAAACGAATATTAGTACATTGTATAATGCTAGAATGCATAGTATGCTGTCTGTGGTGTTTAAGAGCCTTTTGCATCCTAGGTATCCCAATTATTTAAAAAGGCTATTTAAAGCTAGAATCTCCAAATATGCTTTGAGGCCAAAATATATTGGCTTTAACAAAACCAAGTATGACCAAGTACGGATTGGGATCTATTAAATACTTAGCGGCCAAGAGTTGGAACTCGCTTACGGACGATTTTAGGACGATAATGGATAGATATAATACATTTAAAACCGCAATTAGAACGCTGGATTTTTCTATTTTTTCTTAAAATAGAATTGTATAGACCCATTATTTGCACTGACGTCACAAATCCTTAGAGTGTCCTCCAGATGCTCCCTAACAATATCTGTTCGGGTACAACAACCACACACAGCGCAAAATTAACCATTTTAATACAAAATTATTATAAAGTTTTACAAAATTTGCTTTGTTTACAAAAGTTATATTATGCATAGATTGCTAATTTCAGTAATTTGTCCTCCAGATGCATCGTCACCGGCGCTGTGACGTCATGTGCAAAGGGTCTATACCTAGATATATTTTTTCCTCATATTGTATTGCATGCTCGAAGAATAGATATTAGCTCATTGTTTGTGCTACTCTGTGAATTCGAGTTGAAATAAAGTGTATGTATGTAAGTTGTTTTTTTTTGTTTTTAGTGATGGCCGTTCTAGTTCAACAGCTAATTAGAAAACTTGGTAATTGAACAGACAACAGTTAATGATATAATTCATCAGACGTCTTCAGGTATTTTTACTTCTTGTTGCAAGCAATCGTTTTATTTTACTCGGATAATTTAACTCTTACGCCAGAATAATTTACATTGAGGGCTTAGACCTGTTATTTTACTTCTTAATAGTAGAACACCTTGGGCTTTCCTCGTTAAACTTTGTAAAAAAAACAGTCTAGTATTCCTTCACACAACAAAGACAGTGAACTGTATGCTAATAGACCTTTCCGGTAATTATGTTACAGCTACATTATTTGAGGGGCACAAAGGGGCCATGACCCCTTAGCCTCGTTTTCGTGTTAAAGCTTAGTCGCACATTTATTGGTCAAAATAAAAAAAAATGTTTCGTACACGTGTTGAAGAAGGATGCTCGGCTTCTTTGCGCATAGCCATTGAGAGAGAAAACTTGAAATCTATTCCATTTAAGGTGGTCCTAAGTTGAAAACAATGTAGCTGTGACGTAACTACCGGAAAGGTCTATTAACTGGGGTCGGTTGGTCGAAAGGTCACAGCACCATATTTAACGCCCTATCTGCTCGATAAAATTTATACGCTTCAAAACTTCCGTTTAGCATTTAAAGCGCGGTTAGTTTTTAGCTTGTGGATATCTGATTCTCATGGAGTTATCATGGCTCGAAAATCGCCTGCCCGACGTCCCGGGGCAACCAAAAATTTGTGTCGGGCAACTAAAATCTCTTGACTAACGTCCCGACGGGAAACTACACTTTTGAGTTTTGATCACTTTTAAAATTCTTGTAATCTCTTGTTGTTTTGTCATTGGGTGTTAATAAAGCTGTGTGAAACGATGATTTGTCAAAATGTATTGAAAGTGAATGAAATATTGATGATAATAATAAAATAATTTACAGTAACTCCATTATTGGTCCAAATAAACTTTTATACAAAGATATTAATGCCGAACGATTAATTTTAAACATTATTATTATTATTATTATTATTAGAATTAACCAACAATACAATGATGCCTCCACTAAGTTATACAATTCATAAAACCGTAATAAAATTCTAAAAGCATATTGTAACATTGGCCAGTGCCCTTCTTACTTCAAGGCGAATTATATAGCTATCAACGTTTGTCAGCTATTATTCGAAGACACCTCATGTCAACAGTCCAGATAGCATTTTTCTCATAATTGTCTCGCTTTCCCATAATACAGTCTTTTGCATTTCTCTACTTATCCAGTGTAAATCTTTCTCGTTGTTAAACAACTCTCTTATATCATCTTTCAGTCTTTTCATCCCTCCTCCTCCTCCTTATTATTATTATTATTATTATTATTATTAATTTATTTCTCCAAAATGGCTTTTCAGAAATAATTACAATCGTAAAATGAAGATTAAATACGTATTTACATGAGTTTATTAGAAGACCTATATATACTAATATATCAAAATATACATTTGTTTATGGGTATAATAAATCAATTATTGATAATATTCTAAAATATAAAATTATTTTGAGTTGTTCCAGCACTCTTTATGCAGTATCTCTCTTACTAGTTTTTTAAAAACTCCAATACTTGAACTATCTGTAATGTTATTGTCTAAATCATTCCATAATTTGGTTGCTCTATATAAAAAAGAGCGCTGACCAGCAGCTGTCCGATAAAATGGGATATCTAATTCATCCATTTGTCTTGTCGCCCGACCATGTGTCTGGGATCTAGATGTGAATCTAAGAGCAAGGTATGGTGGTGCTAATCCTTTAAGACATTTATAAGCCATAACAGTATCTTTATATTGCAGCATATAAGAAACAGGTAGCCAGTTTAGTTGTTGTAGCACGGGTGTAATATGATCATACTTTCTCGTGCCTGTGACAATTCGTGCAGCAAAATTCTGCACAGTTTGTAGTTTGGCAATACTTTTCTTAGACGTATTTGCCCACACAGATGAACAATAATAAAGTTTGCTGAAGACCAAGGCGTTTATGATCACAATCAAGGTGCGGCTGTCTAAAATATGTTTAACGCGATTAATCTGGCAAAGAGACTTTGTACATTTTGAAACCACGTGGGTAATATGCTCGTCATAGCTCAGACATTCATCAAATTCCATTCCCAAATCTCGGGCTGAAGATATCGGTCGTAGTTCCTTTTCGAGGAAAGTCACTCGAAAGTCTTGCACATGATTGAGCATTTGTGTTGTACCAAACAGAAGAAGTTTAGTCTTTTCGGGATTGGCAAGTAGGCTATTTGAGCAACAACAGGCAGCGATTCTCTTCAGATCGTCTGTAAGCTGAATCTCAGCAACATTAATGTCTTTCTATGAGAATGACAAGTAAATCTTAGAGTCATCTACATACGATTCTAAAGGACATACAATGGGAGTAGTTGGAAGATCGTTTATATAAATACTAAATAATGCTGGACCAAGTATTGATCCTTGAGAAGTTCGTGCGATAACACACAGTGTGCCTGATAGTATATGACCAATCCTCACCGACTGAGTTCTGTCTGAGAGGTAACTCTTAAACCAATCCACAGCTTTCCTAGACACGCCCATCGAATGCAGTTTTTTGAATAGCAATGAATGTTCAATGCTATCGAACGCTTTCGACAAGTCTAATAACACAACTGCAGTCGATTCTTTCCTGTCCATGGCATCAAGAATCATATCCGAAACAAGTATATTAAGTGTCTCTGTTGAATGCATCTTTTTGTTTCCACTCTGATGTTCAGTGAGACACCCTATCTGAGACATATATTCCATCGATTGATTGAGTGCAGCCCGCGTTCACAGATCTTAGAGGCCACAGTAAGCAGGGACACGAGGCGGTTATTGTTAGGTATTTCGTAATCCCCTCCTTTAATTAAAATTGGGATAGCCACCGATTTCTTCCAAGCTAATGGAAACACCGCAGTTAATAAGGAACGGTTTACAATCTCGGTTAGGGTTGGAAGAATTATAGGTAGAGCATCCTTTATAACAGAGACAGAAACTTTGTCCACGCCTGGTGCCTTATATATGATGGAAATGAATTCACGATCTTACGTTTTTTCATAAGATGATACAGGGCGGAAGTTAAACTCATCCGTGTTGTTATTTAATACAAGATTGTTAGGTTGAACTGACGGAAGATTATTTGCAATGGCTATTTTCTTCGACTCTTCTGCGGCTTTAACCCCAACTGATGTATAAAAGATGTTTTGATATATAATTGACATATAAAAGATGTTTTGATGTATAAAAGATGTTTTGCCCTCTTTGCGGGGCACGCATCTCCTAATAACTTTCCACATTGCGTTCGGTTCCTTATTTTTGTAAATTTCATTTTGGACATACCTTTTTTCTGCCTCTAGCAATGTTTTCTTTACTTCATTATGAGCCACGCGAAAACTGTCCCAGTCACAGATATTTTTGGTCTGCCGCGCTACTCTGTGCAAACGATCCCCTTTCTTCATCAGCTCTTTTATTTCATTCACAAACGGCGAGTGGCGATATCTGACTTTTATGGTTTTAACGGGAGCATGTCTAGTATCCAAAATTCTGAGGAAATTACGGTTAAAATTATTTAATTGTCCGTCCACGTCATCAACCAATGAAATATCTTTTATTTGAAATGGCTTTAATATCTAATAATATCTTAATAATATCTAATATTAATATCTAATATTAATATCTAATATTAATATCTATTATTATCTATTTAATATCTAATAATATCTTATTTTTTAATAACTTTTATATGAAATGGCTTTTATTTTCTTGGTGGAAAAACATATAATGAACTGCCTCTAGACATAAGAAAAGCAGAGACTTTGAACATTTTAACGCGAAACTGCAAGCTTTTTTAAATATTTCTTAAATATTTGAATCATGTACGTTTTTTACGGATTTTTATATTCTGTATATACCCTTATTAGGATAGCATAGTTTATATATATATATATATATATATATATATATATATATATATATATATATATATATATATATATATATATATATATATATATATATATATATATATATATATATATATATGTATATACTGTAACTTTTTTTTAGAACAATTTTTAACCTAACGACAGGACCCTAGTTGATAACAGTGAATTTTCACTGAATAGGCATTCCTGTATAAATATTAAATATTATTATTATTATTATTATCCCATTGCTCTTGTGCTATATCTTCCAAAAACATATTCGGATCGTAGTGTTTATAGCTTCTGACGTTTATAAGCGCAGGTTGGAGTTTTGGAAGTATTTATTTTAGCACGGTAAAAATCAAGTAATGATCGCTTATATGATTTTCCACTACTCCACTTTCGGCTACTATAGACCAGTATTAGTTGCCATAATGACATCTACTGTATAAGATAGATTTTAGATTCCTGTGCTGAACATGCATCCATAATTGGTGAGAACCGGACGGTGATATTTCAGTGAGCTCTGTAGGGATTTTAACTTTCAACGAGGTTCGTGTGTATACACATACCCCTCCTCCTGATTTCCTTGTTCTATCCAATCTTGATAGTTTATATCCTTCGATTTCCACCCCTGCATTTGAAATCGTGGAATTTAACCAACTTTCTAACACTGCAAAAACATCGTAGTCTTTTTCTTTAACTAAACAACGTAATTGTAGAAGATGGTCGCGTTTCTTTAGCGATCGATTATTCAGGTGGGCGGTTTTAATTTTCGACTTATGGAAGGACTTCGACAGTTGATTGTTATTAATTCTGGCTCTGTTAATATTATTGGCCTGGGTGGAAACGTCAGCATGAGTTCTCTGCAACACTGATATCAAATTATTTCTATCACGCCCGCTTTGCTTTGGTCTAGACATGTTATTACGGAAGGAAGAGATTCTAACTGGTATTCTAGCCATTACACACATGTTGAGTATTTCCCATGATGGGTAGTGTTAATTTTAATTTCACGTTCAGTAGAATTTCTGGAATTTATTGGTTGCCAAGGTCTACATTTGACGAACTTTGGCCAGAAAATGTCAGATTGAACTAGCAACCCCACTGAGGTTGGAATATGGACTTTTGCAGAGCGTGTTCCCATACGTTGACTTCGAAACAATGAAATATGGGTCGGTGTTATATTACGTTGCTCTAAATAAGACAGGATCTGATTCTCTTTGACACTCTCGTGTATTCCAGAAAGAAAACAATTCTTTATTCTTTTTCGCCTTCGGTCGACCCCAATAAAGCCATCAGCATCAGTGCTTCTTTGTATTAGATGATTTTGCGAATTATTTCCAGGTTTATCAACCGTGCTGGGCTTTTCATTAGATTTACAAGTTTTTGGGGACGATTTGGCCACTTGAGCATAGGTTTGTTGATGCACCACAGCTTCAGGTTTTTCAGTAACATTACTGTCAACGTATTGGTCACCTACAAAACAATCACCAACGCTGTCAATGAGAGTTTCATCAGTCATGCTTGATGGAGCCTCACTAGAATCATCCAGTTGACTAAATGATTTCTGCGTCTGATCTGACACAAAAGAGTCGTGACCATCAATTTCAATAGGATCTTGCAATTGGGCAATAACGTGATTTTCATTTTCACTGTTCTCATTATGTTTAATTGACCCTGTCGAAGCTCCCTCTCTTAGGTGTGTTTTATTCTTTCCCATATAATCTTGAAATTTCGAAATAATATACACTTAATGTCTGCTCCCGAGGGAAATAGTTAGTTTTGTTTTCCCGAGAGTCTCAAGACATTAAGTGTTTTGTTATATAGCGACGAACAAAAATCAACTTCAACAACATTCATATACAACAATTGTTTTTCGTGGCAAAAAACTCTATAGAGTAAACGAGTTTAAAATTAAAGAACCTACTTAAACGGTTTCGGCAGCATATCCTGTTTCCTGTTCTGTATTTTTCTTCCCTTTTACATTCTTTATTTGAACACAAACTTGGAAAATCGTAGTTTCTAATTATCGTAGTTGTGCCGCCATTTTGTTTATTTATGTACGTGGCCGGTCGGGGCGGCCAACAATTTTTCACTTGTTGCCCGGCGGGAAACATTGCATTTATCTGAAGTCACGTGACCACAAATCAGCCAATCACGTTTGGTGTGCACGCTAGCTATATAACAACATAAGTTATATGCAGAACAGAGTCCGACAATGATCGAATTGCCTCGACATTCACAAACTGATCCAGCTTTATGTTTTCTATATCCATGTAAAGACCAGACGATTTGCTCGAGTGAATTTCGCTTGTGTTATGCATATCGACAGGACCCAAAATGTCGTCTTGGCGCCCGCATATGCGCTTGCATAGTTCGTTCTTAAAATCATTCTCCTTCGTTCCGTTGAAGGACAACAAATTCTGATTCTTTTTCCACAGGATCGTCGAATCTTCAAACATGAAAGCTTTCTATCTCCGCCAGGCTGAGACCAGCTTCCCTCAAGTTTGAAAGTCTCGTATACAAACTGCTTTAGCGATTCATAGTTCCCGGTCCATGCTAAACTTACTTGTTTGTTGTCGCCATAACATACCAGTACAAGTATCAGATTCGTTCAAATGTACTAGTTATGATACAAAGATTTTAATTAATTAACTTTAGATAATTTATTTACGAAGATCGAGGAGCTCCAAAGTACACGTCTTGCATGTCATTTGGGTTAGTTACTTTTAGTCACTTGATGTCATTTGGGTTAGTTACTTTTAGTCACTCGAGCAAATCGTCTGGTCTTTACATGGATATAGAAAACATAAAGCGGGATCAGTTGGTGAATGTCGAGGCAAGGATTTCAAAATACTAAGTCGTTTACTTGCTTTTTCATAAATACCAAAGATTTGTGTTTTCCAAGACATTGCAGAGTGCAATGTGACATTGCAGAGTGCAATGTAAGACCTAAGTGACAGTGGCTTTCAACTTGTAAAAATTTGTAACTTTCAAAAACAAGAGGTGGGTGGTAAGGCTTTATCTTTTTCCACAAAATAACCATGCTCCTACATTTAGACGGGTTCATGGTAACAAGCCACCTGAATTTTCCACTAGCGAATTTCTTCGCGCGCAGCGAATTTTTTATTGTTAAAATTGAAAAGAATTTATTAAAAATCTAATTAGTTCCAGCCGAGAGCTTATAAGACAAAAGATTCGCGCGACGAATTTCGTTAGTGGAAAACCGGCTTTAATCCCATCACAGAAAATAAACTAGAAGTTGAACTGAAAAATATGAAGTCAAATAACAGTTGCTGATATGATGGTATTAGCATAAACATTGCAAAACTAATAGCTAAAGAAATCTCTAAACCATTAACACACATTTTCAATCTAACGTTTTCAACTGGAATTTTTCCACATAATCTAAAAGTTGCATTCATTACACCAATTTTTAAGGCTAATGACGCAATGAAGTTTGAAAATTTCCGTCCAATATCAGTTCTTGCTTGTTTTAGAAAGACTAGAAAGTTATTTGAAAGACTTATGATTAATAATGGACTGTCAAAAATTATTGTTAAAAATAAAATATTAAAAAAAAATATCAAAACATCAATATGGATTTAGGGAAAAGAGGTCGACAGAACATGCATTAATCCACTTTATTGATAAAATTACCAAAGCAATTTATTATCAAGGCGTTTGATAGGATTGATCACAAGAAGGAAATTGGAACATTATAGTATCAGGGGAGTGGCCAAAGATTGGTTTGAAAATTATTTATACAGTAGAAAACAAATGGTGAAATAAGTCGTGCAATTAATGATTAAGAGGCAGTCTCTGTAAGAACCTCATGACCTCTTTGGATCAAGAAATAGATTTCTCTCAAACTTTGTACTCGAGATTGCTTTTATAAGGGTTGTTTCAAAATGCATTTTGTTTTCAGTCTAATTGCATTTTGGCAAAGTTCCAGGGGGGTCAATTTGAGGGATAAAATTATGATTTTTGCTGTTTCTCAATAGTGGATTTTTACTGATTTTTAAACCTCTCTACATCAAACAAAATTGACGATAAAACTAAATCCTTCCACACAATAGTAGCTTTATATGTCTTAAGTAACAAAGTATCTACAATTTTTTCAAATATGTTTTCTAAATATAGAAATGACATCATTCATGACAGACTAAAATAGAGATTTCCAAGTTCTTTAAGAATGGGTGAAATAAAACCCCTAAAATTCAAAAGTTAGACTTGCCATGAATGTAATATTATTTGTATGGTGAGATTAAAGGTTGGTCTTACATAATGTAAAATTAAATATTGCGGCCTGTAAATTTTGGGGGAACTACAGGGCAACAAAACATCAACATTTTTTACTTTAGGTATAGTTTAGATCAAATAAGGATGTTCACCGTTTACTGTAAACTCTGCTTTCAAAGACCGAGATGTTACTTATTATTTTGACCTAGAACAGTGATAACATTCGCTTGACTTTGACCTAATTTACTGTTGTCTAAAGTCTTTTAGGGAAATGCACTGGCACTGGTTTTCCCGTTATGTATGGACGGTATTGTATAAATAATAAAAATTTTCTAGCTGAATATAAACAAAACAAGTTATAAATTTGCAACAGATTAAGATGTCCATTAGTCAACAAATTATCGAACATCGATTTACTTTGAAGAGTTATTTAAAAAGTCAAGAGAAAAGTACTCCAATATTAAATTAACTATTACAAAGATATGCCTCGAACGACAGCCTTGTCATTCAATGACCCCGATTGTCAGTAGACTTACTATTTGACGTTCGTCAGCTGCCATTATTCTTTAGTGTCAATCCCTTTCGATATCTTAATGATTATCGTAGACACAGTCTTGTAAATAAATCTTGATTCTTCATCAACAGCCTATGCTAGTCAATTCCTCTGTTGTTTTTACTCCATATTGTTATTGTTATGGCGGAAGCCGCTGACCAGCCAAATAATTCGGCTGTCAAACGTTGTAGCCTTGGACGATTTTGCCTCCATCAAACAAAGATCATGATAAACCTACATCCTTCCGAAAAATAGTAGCTTTATATGCCTTAACTGACAAAGTATCTATACATTTTTCTGATATATTTTCTAAATATAGAAATGTTTATATATTTAGAAAAATTAGATTTAATCTGTTTCATTCTTGACAGAGCAAAGTTTAACATTATTTCCGTACAAATTTAACCAAATATTAGAAATTTTTAGAATTGGGAACAATTTCATAACTTTTACCAAACATTGACAAATTTTTGCCAAGTTTGACCTGCAGCTTTGAAAGCAAACAATTCACGACATGTTGCACCACAGGCGGCCCAATCTCCGAATGGTCTATATATTTTGAATATTTATACGGAATATTTAACCGTTATAATATTTAATAACGAAATAATTCAAAAAATATTAGCAGTATATGTAAAAAAATATATCTATAAAGGACTAACTTGTTAATAGAATGCATTTGTTGTGTTGCTGAGTTTAGTTGATGCGATTGCTTTACGTTTTCGTCGTACTTGAACGGTCGTCAGTACTGGCACTGGCTACATAGGACATAAATAACTACAAGGCTAGCCACTTATCTGATATACCCTCCGACATCGAGTCCAATATCTCGCCTAAGAATCGTTGCAGAGCAATAAATTTCACATCGCCTAATAGAACGAGCGTTCTTCTTTCGAAAGAACTTGATTTGTTCACCATTGCAGCGATTCTCGTGACACAAGACGAACTTTGTTTGTCCAAATTCCAAAATTCCATTTTCGAAAGAGGCGCTAACCCCACGATCGTTGCCACGAGAGCGGCACAACAACCTGGCCTCCTCGTTTGAAAACAATCCGCCAGGGGGGAGGATCTGCACTGGAATGAGGGGGCTTTTAAAACAACACGATAAAAAAACACGATATAAATAATAAAATATACGGTTGAAGTGTTGAACGAAGTGAAGTTCGATACTTTAAAAAGATTGGTATGATTGTCAAAAGCTAAATGTTATAATAAGTAAATAATGTTCTTGTTCTAAAAAATATGTAAGGAAAAGTTCATATTAAACAAGATATTTCTAACGTTTCTCACGCTTCTAAAAATAGGACTGATTCAAAACTTGTTTATTGTTTATTGTTTATCGTCGAATACGGATGATAAAGTAATCATTTCTATTTATATCGTGTTTTTTATCGTGTTGTTTTGAAAGCCCCCTCATTCCAGTGCAGATCCTCCCCCCTGGCGGATTGTTTTCAAACGAGGAGGCCAGGTTGCTGTGCCGCTCTCGTGGCAACGATCGTGGGGTTAGCGCCTCTTTCGAAAATGGAATTTTGGAATTTGGACAAACAAAGTTCGTCTTGTGTCACGAGAATTGCTGCAATGGTGAACAAACCAAGTTCTTTCGAAAGAAGAACGCTCGTTCTATTAGGCGACAGGGGCGTATCCAGGATTTTTCGTACGTTAGTCAAAGTTTTCGGATGTACAATCTAGTTTTGCGGGCGGCGAATGCGCGAGGCACCTAGGGGGGTCTGTCCCCCAGGAATTTTTATATTTTTAAACTTCCGAAACGCAATTTGCATCACTCTGAAAGCAGCTTCAACAAAAAATTGACTTCATGAAATGGGAGATAATTATAGCAACTATCAGTCTGACTGAGTCTCACAACTCGCTCCTTAGCGAAAAGTAAAGGAGAAGTACTTGCAGAATGTGATAATTGTGGAAGATGTTTCATTTTATCAAATTACGGATTGCTAGTATTATGTTTAATTAACTATCTCATGATAGTACTACACTCACTTTTGTTGCCTAATAGACTTGTTGAGTCATTGATCACTTGACTAGTAATCACTACAGAGTACAGTGTCATATTACTTAAATAAACATAATTATCAATATTAAAGTATAACATTCATCTATAAAACCTGACCTTATTATATCCTATCATTCCTAGCTATGTACACTGCATTAATGCATTTATATAGGTTATCCTCCATATTAATAGCCTTCTGAGTTCTGACGGACCTTCAACCGCAGAATTACAAATATGCAAATTTGTTGTGTAAATCAAAATTCATAGCTAAATCTAAATCAAGGTACGCGTATTCAAGTTACAATTTTACATATGCATGGCGGTCATCTTATTCGCTTATAAATATTGTTATGCTGTCTAAAACGAAATAAAATTTACATATCACATTACATTTACCTTATTGCACTTCAGAATAAAGATCTCGGCGCCAATACTTCTACTCAAACAGTCAAACTGTAGTTCGTGCTATTCGTGGCGCTTAGCAACTGCTCACTGAATGGAACTCTCCGACATTTAACGTTGATTTTCCTCCCAAGATCAGCGCAACAGTCTTGTAAGACAGCTAAATCATTTACCACAAATGCGGATTGAAGCGTTTCGTGAATACTACAAGGATGGGAGCAGCAGACATTTCTGAATTTTCCGTAGATATATATTAATGAATCTTTCGACAAAGCTACAACATGACACTTCGAATGAGCGCGCGCTCGGAAAGACTTTACCACGCGTCAAATATTAATGATATTCCGACTAATGGAGCGCCCCTGACTTTGGTAAATTGGTCAGAACTCCCCACAGATCAGTCAAAATCGCAAAAAATCGCTTGTTACCATGGCAATAAGCGTCTAGACCAATCAGAACACTGGATTTTGACTTTTTGACTGGCCGACTTTGCGTATGTCAGCTGCTCATTGACTTGACTAAGCTCGTCGGCTCAACCACTGTATGAAATTTGATCACTGGACTACAGTTCGATTGGAATGTTAATTGCTACCGCTGCATGATAATAGATACTGGAGTATTATAAGGTGTCGCTGCATGATAAAAATAACTGGACTATTGGTCGAATATTTAAGACTTTAATTAATTAAGTTTGCAATTTTTACGTTAGTCGCGTGACTGGTTTGACGACCCCTAGATCCGCCCCTGTTAGGCGATGTGAAATTTATTGCTCTGCAACGATTCTGAGGCGAGATATTGGACTCGATGTCGGGTGGCTAGCCTTGTAGTTATTTATGTCCTATGTAGCCAGTGCCAGTACTGACGACCGTTCAAGTACGACGAAGGCGTAAAGCAATCGCATCAACTAAACTCAGAAACACAACAAATGCATTTTATTAACAAGTTAGTCCTTTATAGATATAGTTTTTTACATATATACTGCTAATATTTTTTGAATTATTTCGTTATTAAATATTATAACGGTTAAATATTCCGTATAAATATTCAAAATATATAGACCATTCGGAGATTGGGCCGCTTGTGGTTGCACGTGTTTTTGACAGCCGAATTATTTGACTGGTCAGCGGCTTCCGCAATAACAATAACAAAAATCGAGTTATAACAAATATGGAGGATTGACTTATTTGACTAGCATTGCCTGTTGACAAAAGAATCAAGATTTTATACATATGAGACTGAGTCTAAAATAATGGCAGCTGACGAATGTCAAATAATATGTCAACTGACAATCGGTTCGTTGATCGAGGCATATATTATCTTTCTATAAATTATATTGAGGTAGGTTTTCTCTTGACTTTTTAAATAAATTTTCACAGTACGTAAATCGATGTTCGATAATTTGTTGACTAACGGACATCTTTACCTGTTGCAAATTTATAACTTGTCTTTGTTTATATTCAGCTAAAAATTTTTTTATTATTTATACAATACGGTTCATACATAACCGAAATGCCTGTGTCAGTGCATTTCCCTAAAAGACTTTAGAGTTTAGACAACAGTAAAGGTCCTACGAATGTTTATCACTGTTTTAGGTCAAAATAATAAGTAAAATTTCGGTCTTCGGAAGCAGAATTTACACTAAACGGTGAACATTCTTATTTGATCTAAACTACCGAAAGTCGAAAATGTTGATATTTTGTTGGCCTGTAGTACCCCCAAAATTTACAGGCCGCAATATTTAATTTTACATTACGTATAAGACCAACCTTTAATCTCACCATACAAATAATATTACATTCATGGCAAGTCTAACTTTTGAATTTTAGGATTTTTATTTCACCCATTTTTAAGGAACTTGGAAATCTCTATCTTAGTCTGTCATGAATGATGTCATTTCTATATTTAGAAAACATATTTAAAACATTTGTAGATATCTTTTTACTTAAGACATATAAAGCTACTATTGTGTGGAAGGATTTAGTTTTATCATTATTTTTGTTTGATGTACAGAGATTTAAAAATCAGTAAAAATCCACTATTGAGAAACAGCAAAAATCATAATTTTATCCCTCAAATTGACCCCCCTGGAACTTTGCCAAAATGCAATTAGACTGAAAACAAAATGCATTTTGAAACAACCCTTATAAAAGCAATCTCGAGTACAAAGTTTGAGAGAAATCTATTTCTTGATCCAAAGAGGTCATGAGGTTCTTACAGAGACTGCCTCTTAACACTACTCGTCAAGGCGGCGAAAAGTAAGGGTAGCTAGTAAGGCAGGCTAACTTTAAGCAAGGTAGCGTTCCAGTTATATAAGTCCAATGCCCACCACAAAGCAAACGTTTGCGAAAACGACTGAGAACGAGATTGTTATCTCAACAAACAATAAGTCTAGCGAAAGAATCTTCCTGACACATAAGTATCATCACTCTATTGTATAAATGTTTTTTGCGCGGTCAGTGGCTTCTCGAATTTGCTAGTCCATTTGACATAAATTTGGTGTCAGTACAACACTGTTAATGCTTAGCATGCAGTGATATTGCTAAATTGACGTTTAGTTTAGGGTTTGATATTGTAAATTAAATTTGCATTAAAATTGCTTGTTTTTTAAAGTGCCTAAAGGAGAATATTTTTTCCTGAAAGCGCTTGGCAAAATATATAAATATTAAACAATTATTGGATGAGGCTGAGCGTTGACCTTGGTCTGAATAATTCTTGATATTATGCCTAAGCCGAATTTATTTATTTAAAAAGAAAAGAGAGCAAACAAATAAATACTTGTCGAAGATTGTTTTTCATTCTTCTCTGGCCATTTTGGTGCAGTCACTGTCTTTTTTCTGACAATAATTGGACAATTTTTCTTCGTTAACGAGAAAAAATCGTTAACAAACTTGGGCTTTAATTTTCCAGGGCTTTTTATAAAAGTATGCGTTTGCTCTGGGGCATCACAAGCATCATATTCACCTGAGTACATTACATGCACCAACACAGAAAAAAATCATGGTTACTAGATTGCATTGATATCGAAGGAACTGGACTCGGTTCCGAAGTATCACATACTCGAACCGGTCTGACCGCGTAGCTCAGTTGGCAGAGCATTGGGCTAGTATTCCAAAGGTCGTAGGTTCGATTCCCACCGTGGCCAGGCATATTTTCCAAGCTTGCCCGGTGTGGATACACACTCAGAGTAACATCACAAGCATCATATTCACCTGAGTACATTACACTAACACAGAAAAAAATCATGGTTACTAGATTGCATTGATATCGAAAGAACTGGACTCGGTTCCGAAGTATCACATACTCGAACTGGCCTGACCGCGTAGCTCAGTTGGCAGAGCATTGGGCTAGTATTCCAAAGGTCGTAGGTTCGATTCCCACCATGGCCAGGCATATTTTTCAAGCTTGCCCGTTGTGGATACTCACTCAGAGTAACACCACAAGCATAATATGTTATTTTTATTGAATATGGAACCAAATTGCACTCTGATCGATTGCGTCATGCAGCTGAATATGGATATGCTGATACCGGATATGGAGAATTATCCGGTCATTTTTGACCAATCAGGAGCGAGAACACAGTTTAATTCCCAATTGGGCTCTTAAGGAATATACTGAAATCCTTGCACAGCCAGTATGCGCTGTGCTAAACAGCAGCTATGCCGAACAACAACTACCTAAATCTTGGAAGCTTGCCAACATTGTGCCCCTCATAAAAACTAAGCCCGTTAGCGACATTTGTAAGCAGTTACGACCAATTTCACTTACTGCCGCTATTTCGAAAATCGCTGAGGACTGTGTTGTTAAAAAATACATTGCTCCAGCTATCATGAGTATAATCGATCCAAGTCAATATGGAGTAATACCAAGAAGTTCAACTACTCTCGCTGTTATATCTATGATCCATGAATGGTCGCAAGCTACTGATGGCACTGGCTCTGCTGTCAGAGTCATCCTGTTCGATTATAGAAAAGCATTGGACCTTATCGATCATGCTTTACTGGCTGATAAAATTTCCAATTTAGCTATTCCACGTGCGGTTGCTCGCTGGGCAATCGATTTTTTGATGAATCGAAAGCAGAGAGTGAAATTATCCAATGACTGCTATTCGGAGTGGGGTGATGTACTTTCCGGTATCCCTCAAGGTACAAAATTAGGGCCCTGGCTATTTTGTTTAATGATAAACGATCTTGATATTTGTGATATATCGAGGTGGAAGTTTGTTGATGACACAACAGTTGCTGAAGTAGTTAGTAAGGACACAGAGAGCCGTGTTCAAGTCGCAGTTGATGTTGTGGAAGATTGGTCGAAGGCAAATGGGCTATCTCTTAACGCTGAAAAATGTAAAGAACTGAGAATCGATTTTAAAAAAATTAAACAACCTTTTGATCCTGTACTGGTGGGTGGAGAAGCATTGCCTATAGTTGAGAGTGCAAAAATATTGGGTCTTGTTATGACAGGCACACTTCAGTGGAAAGATAACATCAGAGAGAGTATAAAGAAAGCTAATAAACGCCTCTATTTTATAGTATTATTGAAACGGGCAGGCGTAAATGTCAATGATGTTTTGAACTTTTATTGTACAGTGATCAGGCCTGTGCTCGAGTATTGTGCGCAAGCCTTCCATCATTCCATCCCAAAGTATTTGGCAGACGAACTTGAGACTGTCCAGAAACGTGTGCTAAAAATTTTATCTCCTGAAATGACATATTGTGAGGCCCTTGAGTATTATAGACTGCCTACTCTATTTCAAAGAAGAGAGGACATGTGTGACAAACTCTTTACGAGTATCATCAAGGATCCAATGCATAAACTTCACCATCTGCTGCCCCCGAAGAACGAGACTGATTATTCTTTCAGGACGAATCGGTATTTTAATATGTACGTTACACGCACGAACCGCTTTTATAACTCTTTCATTCCTGCTATGTGTAGGAAGTTTGTAGGATAGATTTTATGCTTATTTTAATCGAATTTTGATCGAGGGTGGGTTTTATAATATTGTATTAATAATATATTTATATGTAGTGCATGTGATAATATATAATCCACGCAATTCAGCTTCTGGCTGCAATGTGGTTTCAATTTAATAATAATAAATATCAGGGGTAGTAAATGTGTCGTAATCACTATTAGTATAGATTTTGCATATCAAATGAGCTTTCGCGCGTTCTGATTGGCTAGTTGACTAGTAAATCTGAGGCATTATTTACCACCTGGGTAGTAAATAATGCTTTTCAAAAAGAATGATTCGGCAAATTTGGTTTCAAAATCGACGAAATATTGAAAAAATAGTCCCCAGAAAACAAAAGAAGCACAAAATGTTGTATTTAACTTGAAAGGTAGGATTCCTTTATTATTTTACTGTGTCAAACATATTCACGGACAATTTAAAACGTATTTAAAACTCCGAAACATTCACTTCAAATAAATAGCAAAATAGGTACGCTAAGCGTACATGTATCTGCTCATGGTGATTGCACTGTTGCCAAGGGCTTCAATCAATACTCAGTAGCTTGTAACAATTTTAAATAAAGTTAGATAAAGTTAGATTTATAGTATGTCAGATGAAAGAAAAAGAAAATGGCTGATATATATTCAACTGATATATATTCAACTAATTCCGGCCATAACTTCACAAAGATGATATTCAGTTTTAGTTTTATAATGTTCTTGCAAGGATGGATCCAGCATGATCTGGGGGGGGGG